CATAATGTCAAGGACCGTTTGTAGTGTTTCTAATTATACGACCACCAATGTATATGTATATATATATATATATATATATATACTGATTTTACATTACTACTATAAACATGTTCTATTGAAGCCACACCCAACGATACAGGTAAGTACTATCTTTTAACATTCTGTACCGAAAATTGTGTACATAACATAGCCAAATTGGCACTTTGAAACTTATTACTTTCTACTACTATAGTCTACCTTAACCTGTGACAAGCAATAGAACTTATACTCCTTATCTCTTTTAAGAGATTTCCTGTACATTAATTATTCTAAATCTTTCACAGCCTTATCACGTAATGCTTGTTCTTCCTCCTTTTCTTGCACTTTATCTTGTACTTCTTCCAAGGTCTTGCCTTTAGTTTCTGGTACTAAAAAGTAAACGAAGAAAACTCCCAAATAAGCTATACTAGCAAAAGACCAAAATACTGTATGGTGCCCAAAATTATCTTTAATACTTTGATAACATTTTGCGACCGCAAAACTCAATACACACGCAAACATTGTAGCACTACTCGATGCTACAGTTTTTACATTTATTGGGAATAATTCGGCTTGCATCACATAAGGTAAGTTTCCTATTCCTACAGCATATAAAATATTAAAACCAAGAATGCCTATGAGAGGTAAGGCAGAAATTAACGCTAAACTTTCGGCTGATATTTTGTTAAAATCTTGGAGAAAGAAGTATAATCCAACAGCTGTTAAGGAGAGTGCTACTCCGAGACTTGATATTAGCATTAGAATGCGTCGACCGAACCAGCCTGCTAAAAATGTGGCTCCTATACCTGTAAAACCAAATAATAATAGGTCCAATACTGTTTGCGATGTAGCGGATTACATAACAATACGATCTTGTCGATTGCGCCAACTGATTTATACAGCATATCGTATTAGTGAATACATTCAAATTCTCGAAAATTGTTACTAACAACTTTTTTTTTTGCTTGAATATTTATGGAAATTCACAAAACTCAAAATCAATTTCAGTTCTATCGTACAGTTTCAAATAGAGCTGCAACCAATAGACAAATTGATACTATCGGGACTTAAAGGTCGTCTATTGATAGTTCACAACAAGTTGGAATGGAATATTTGTAAATATGGTAAATTCACGGATGACATAAACTCGCGCAACTAGATAACCAACTAAATAAAGTAGAGCACAATGTAGCTTTGCTACAATTCTTCATCAAGTCATTATCATGTAGGCCATCGGCACCATGAGCGGCCAAGGTTGGGACAAATAAAACTACAGTGCTTGCTTCTATTTTCTCAATGTCGTTCGGCAATCATCGTATTTCCGAATGCACACGAATATTAATTTCCATGTCCATTAATTATTAAATTTAGAATCTATAATAATTAGAATTTTGAACAACGTACTTTATAGTTGTTTTGATTTCCGCGTGAACTATATAGAGCTGTAAAACTGTTTCCATATTTTTAACAACATTTACTCTATGTCTATAATAAGCAAGTTAACAAAAATATAAAGTGTGCGTGTTTTGTATAACTAAAAATGAATATTTATCCGGTTTTTAATGAACAAATGCATAATTAACAATTATGAATTGTTCTTTCGTACCTTTTCAGGTGACAGAAATGGAACTAATTTATCTTTTTTATTCTTTTGAAATATTCTTTACTGTTCCGATTGACACAAGCTACAGAAACACGTTTTTGGACTTTTTGTAAATAACCATTGTTGTCTTTCAGGAACGTATCGGCTTCTTGTAAAAAATACAAGTGGACGCTATAAATTATCTGTAGTACCTGTGACTATTGATTTTCTTCCCTTTGTATAACAAATAAAAAATGTAATGGTAACTCTATAATACCTCCAAGTCGACTGAAAGCGTCCGGTCTGTACCAAAGGCAAACTGCGACTGAATGAAACCCGCACCCAAAACACGAAGTTTGCCGAGAGACATTGAGAAAATAGAAGCACTGTATGTATATAGGTCCTGAGGTACTGGTTTTATTATTGTTAAACATCGAACGTCTGTTTAAAATTTCCCTATAAACTATCATCTAAGCTATAAACTTACCAGCTGCCAATTGTACGAACCCGTAGACAATACTAACATGCGGACCAGATATCGAACTGCTCTGTCGGAATATCATCTCCAAGTATGATTGTATAGCAGAACTGCCGGTCATGTATTGAAGGATCTTGAGACCTACAAACAACATAATTAATCAGATTTACCTATTTTGATTCAGTTGTTCTACATTGACGAAGCTCCGACATCGGCGGAGACTATGAATGGATAAAAAAATATTTTATTTTTGAAAAACAACTGCGCAGTCGACCTCTCTGTCATGTGATGGAAAGTGACAATGAGGTCGACGATGGAACATGCACACGTAATGTCTACTCTCGCCTTCAAAAGGCCCAAGTTATAGCGTTCAGGGAATAAACTTGCAGACAGGGCATTCCACTCCAATGCCGTTCGCCATATAAATGTGAAAGCTTCGTGCGAATCCTTGAAGTATTCACAACATGGGGGTCGAACCCCAGCCTACACTAGTACCTACCCCGAAAAGGAATGGAAAGAGAAAGGCAGAATTATTATTTTTTTTCTCTTTTTTTTTATACAAATGTAAGTGCGCATTTGACCTCCATCTCACCTGATGGAAAGTGACAATGAGGTCGACGATGGAACATGCACATCTAACTTTTTTTCTTTTTTTTATACGAATGTAAGTGTGCATTTGACCTTATACGGCATCAACAATTGTCGAGAACACATAAGCCAATAGAAAATCTGCCAAACAGATCCGTGTGAATCACTGTTTATATATTCATATTCCGTGTATCTAAAAAACTAAAGATTTTTTAGGAAGATAAGTTTCAATTACCTGCCACAATGTAAACAGCCTTCCTGTATCTCATGTTCGTAAAAAGTTCTTTCATTGTGGTTTTATTCTCCATACTTTCACGGACATGTGCTCTTATTACATCCAATTCATTGTCTACCCACTAAAATAATGAAATATTTTGGAAATTGAAATGATCTACTTTAAAGTTTTTCCTCTCTTTAAATTGCTCTACCAATTACAGAAGTTGAACAAAATCTTCCGAAAACTTCAGGAACTCTTTTGCCCTGAAATGACCGAATCTATTTATTCCATTTAGAGTAATACTTGAAATATATAGTCACCGTCTCATCCTTCCTGCCCTTTATAACCATGAACTCCTTCCGCGCCGCAGCGACTCTCCCGTCTTTCAAATGATAATACGGTGACTCAGGTATCCAGGTACAAGCCAACACGTAGACTACAGGTATAGTTAGAACTATAGAGTTCAGCACTGTGTAGGAGACGAAAGGTCCAACTCCATACATGATTAGACTTCCTGAATTGTTCATGACCTGGACAAGCATACCCAGAGCCCCTCTGATTTCCTTATCTGCTATTTCTGTTATATAAATCATTGTTACCTGCAATCGTTTAGATTTTGTTGTAATCGAAGTCTGTGTGGCAAAATACTGATAATAGATATGCTACATAAAGTTTGTTACTTAAGATACTTCGAAACTAGGACGTCCGGTAAATTGTGGTGGTTTTCTCCACTGTTGAGAGGGGTTTCGCTTACTTTTTTTTGGAGCGGGTGTTGGAGTGCGTAAATCTTATCTGAAGGTAATAAATAAGACTCAGCGATCCAATTGTGGAAACATTGTCATCCTCCTAGTCCTAACATGATGGAATGTCACTTACCACGGCAGTTATTCCAGTAGTAACTCCCATCAACAATCGGGCTGCGTATATTAGCTCAGGTGTCTTTGTGAAAAGAACTATGACCTGAAAATTGTATCAGATGAATACGAGTAGTTATATAAGACATATATAAAACGACGAATTTGCAATGTCAATAAACAGTTATCGTACTTCTTTTCAATCATTTTATTACTACTTTCACGTATGTTACGTTCAAGATGGTACAGACAAGAGCACATCATTGCTACTTTGGACCTTTTCCAACTCAAATACCGTAAGGCTCAATTTATATTGCGGCGGAACGGAATGGAAACACATTTTTGTAACGATATTGTATATAGCATAATTAACTATAGGGTCTCGCGCTTGCTCTAGAATGCTCACGCATTCCTCGGAAGATTTTCGCTCGTATCTAGTTTGTGCGTTACACAATTGACTATAAAGTCATTATGCTATGTACAATATCGTTACAAAAATTCGCTTCCATTCCGTTCCGCCGCAATATAAATTGAGCATAAAGTGGATTTTAAATCGAAGTGTTAAAATTGACGTGCTCTTCTTGACCCTGTAAAGTTCTTTTAAGGGCTACACATGAACCTTATTAAGGTAAAAATTAAGCGCTTATAGAGATTTTTAGGTTCGTTATTCTAATGGCATGTTTGAATTATTAGTCTATGTAAATTAAATGACCACCTCAATGATTAATTTTCCCTTTATAAGTAAGTAGTGGCTTATGCACTAGTGAGTACACGTAAAAAGATACGTACATATTCACTCTAAATAGTATAATTTAACATTACAATTTTATAATTAAGTAAGAATATGTATATCTGTGAAAGTTGGTATAAAACCAAGAAAGGAAAGAATATAATATCATTTGAGAGTACAAAGGAATTGAATGAAGTGAAACTATTTTTCCGGATTTAAATCGCGTATATTTGTTTTTTTAAACAAACAAGCGTTTCGGTGTGTATACAATTCCCATGGTCACGGCAACCGTTACCAGTAGTTTCATTTCCTATGTGTAACAATCGTGAAAACCTAAGAACTCGAATTGAATCAAGTTCCAAATTTATAGAATACCTATCCACAAGTTACTTACATTTAAATGAAATTGACATAATATACTGTGACCTAAGAAAGCAAATACAGTGACTAAATAAATAAGAATTATATTGTTTATGTACATTAACAGAGTAGATATCTATATAGTTCGAAATTGCTAATATTAACATAAACAACTCCTGTTCTACAAGTTGATTAGTCACACAATTTTTAGACCCAATAGAAAATAAAGCACAGTTGAAACGGGTTATATATGTAGGTGTGGAAAATATGCAGATTTTAGATTTTTTTTTAACAAAATTTCAGAATTTTAATAGTAGGAATAACGTAAAGAAGTTTCAGGTTTAAAAATAATAGCAGTGAGGTACCTTAATTGCCTCTGTGGCCGTACGGTTATCATGCTCTGCCACACAGAGGCCCCGGGTTCGATTCCTGAGCCGTAAGAAATATTTGTATGGCCTACATGTTGTAACTTGTGGTTACCCTAGTGCGGGGCTATGAGTGTGTCCGTTATATCATCCTAAGTTCTGAATGTTTAGACATCGAGTTATATCTTTTTGGAATTTTTACATACTCGTAAGTGTAGGTAGGTATTGCTTTTTCGATTAAGGATTTATATCTAACTTAAGTTGGGTAACGACGTCCAAAGAACGTACCGCACCTATGAGTCCAGGAATAGCGGAACTGAAAATAGTCCGCCGTCGGCCGACGCGCTCACTCAATACCTGACCAAAGTAGCAGCCGGGAATGGACCCCATTGACAGGAGAGACACCGCCCAGGAACTCTGTGCCTGCACGATAATGTAATAATAATAATGTGCCAGGCAACTACACCAATTGCCTTGTATCAAACATGGGAATTCTCTGTATACTATGCGTAGGTACTTACCAGAGCAACGGAATTCACTCTGGGGCACTTCCTAGAACACTCAGACCAGAACCAATTTAAAAAAGTTCATTTCCCAAATTAGTCCTAACGACCGGGAATTCCAGCGCCCACAGTGTAAACCGTTAAGCCACCGAGGTCTACAAAATAAAATATACGTATACAAAACTCTAACAGCTGCCTCCGTGGCCGAACGGTTACCATGCCGGACTGCCACGCAGAGGACCCAAGTTCGATTCCCGGGCCGGGAGAAATATTTGTATGGCCTACATTTATTTCTCTCGTGAGTTTGGGTGTAATTTGTGGTTGTCTATGTGTCCATGGCACACGCCACACATGGTTTCCCTAGTACGGGGATATGTTGAGTGTGTGCGTTATTTATTATTATTTATTTATTACATTATAACAGCATTTTGAGAGCTTTACTTTTCCAAAAAGAAACGTTTAGTACATATATGTATATTGAAAAAATAAAATGTTTTGCTTAATAAATTATAAGTTAGGTACATAAATGAAGTAGGGTATTTATGATATTTAAATTACAAAACTGGTAAGTACGTACATAGGTAAGTAAATGTAGTTTCGTCTATGTTTCGAGCTCAAATTTCGATAAACACAGAAGTATCACGAGATACTCTCCCCTTAATATCAAATAACGTCTAAGCTTTACTTACATCTGTGATATCTAAATTTGCTTCTCCGCTTTTGAACTTTGGAATCGCTGGTGATCCCCATGATAACACTGCTCCCGTGAACACGAATCCCAAGGACGCTGAATTGAATTGTTATTTTATTATGCAAAATTTAAAATCGGAACCAAGGAGGATGTCCAAAAGCAAAACTTAATAGATATCAAGAGTGTCACCATGTTAATAAAAGTACCCGCTTGTCACAAATTTAATGTTCGTTGTAGCTTTTTATATTCAGTGCAATATTTCTTTGGTTTATGCATAATAAAAATGTGGCCTAATTCATTGTCCATGTGTACTGTTGGACGCTTAAGAAATCACCATTTTGATATTTATGCGAATGGAGGAAGTCGAACTTTGCCGATCCCACTGGTATAGGTACGTACGTAATAGGTAATACGTACCTATCTAAAATTAAATCATCAGCCAAAACATTGAATTTTTTACTTGCCACATATTCCAGCTAAATATTGTACTTTTCTATTTGATTGCCCAGTCATATCAGCTGTAAATTCTTAATCTTCAAATTCTTTGACGAACACTTCATTCCTTCCCGTTTCCGCCAACACACTTCATATCGAACTACATCAAATGTACACCAGTAATTCATTTACAATTAACACTGCGTTATCATGAAGTAAGAAACAACGATAGCGTTCCTCATACACATGGCAATTGTACACCGTTTTATCTTTACAATATAATGACCTCGCCACAAAACAGAGACATCGGTAACCAACGGTCTCTGCATTAGGTATCTAAGTAGATATGACTGTCACCGCGCAGTAGATTACCTTCGATGCGACACAATACTTCAGAAACTGAATAATGTTAATTTAATCTGCATTTCAAACGCGAATACCTACATTTGAAATGTACGTAAATACAAATTAAATTGTAGTTGTAAGTAGTACTAAAAATAGTCGTAACATTATCTCGAATTACTATAATTAATATGTACAACTATGTATTTTTCTCAAACTTTTCTTGAAAAATATGTATTTTTCTTGAACGTTCCATCTCTTACATACATTTTTAAACGACTTCAAAAGAAGGAGACGTTCTCCATTCGACTGTATTGTATGTTACGCGATAACTAAAGTGAACCGATTTTGATTTTTTTTTCTTGGAAAGAGTATACCTACCTGGTGCAAACTAACCGATTAAAATAAAACTTTGCAAATAGGTGTAACTCTACGGTCTTGAACTTTTGAGGTCGACTTTTTTAATACTCTGTACTGTACCGAGATTATAGGAATAAGTAAATAAGATTGTCGTGGGTTGTTCACTAAACTGTGTGAATAATAAATTATAATAGTTACAAGCACAACTTAGGTTAGTTTTCCTAATTCGTGCGACCTTGGAATATGAAATTAACGAAATTTTTTAGAAGAAATAAAAATACGGTGATTTGAAGCGTGGCCATGGTAGAGTAGTTGAAATTTGACAAGTCAGATAAAAAGTCGCCATTTAGTCGGTAAACCTGCAAGTTTGTAATGATGTTCTTTACTTATATTTTATTAAAAATCGAATTGCGGATATCACAATACGCATTGTTCACAATTAAAAAACAAAAAACAACAATTCAAGAATATTTTTTTAATCAATGCATTTATTCGTAGTAACATTATAGAACTACCTACAATCTAAAGCAAATGTATGTACAACACTCCTTTGTTCCTCGCATAGCAACAATAAAACCAGAAAGACGAGTCTGCTTTTTAATATAGTTCCAGTTTGCAGAATCTCCTCTATAAGCAACAAGAGCTTATCACAAAATTAAAGAGAAGACTACCATTCCTTTTTCCACACATTTCATCACAAACATTACTAACAACCGTAACTAACAAAGTTACAAACGCGTTAGGTTTCCAAAATGAACATAGATCAATTATTTTGTATCAAAATTACTGTTGGGTAATTTTCTGGAAAAACTTCTGAAAAATTAGAAAAGAAAATATTCATAGGCTCTTATCATGTGCTATGTTTTTAGATATATATATATATCTTTTGAAGTTTTATATAGAGTGAATTATAAAATTGTACGTTAAAGCCAAACAAGTTAAAATGTCCAGTCTTTTTACCAGAAAAAAAAAAGAATCATGGTTATAAAAAAAAATTATAATGGCTCCATCGTTTTCGTTCAGAATGTTTAACTGTTGACTGGTGTCAACTATCAAATGCTGAAAAATATAGGAAAATTAATATTTAATGTAATTTTTAAGTTTTTATTGAATGTCACGATGATTCACTATGCTATTAAATTATTTTTTGGAAAATTACTCCACTAGTTTCTTATAATGATTAATACAAAGATTGAACACTACAAAAGTTTCCTTCAATCTGGCTGGATTCAAACCAGCATCTTCCAACCGTGCTTCGATGCATCTAGTATATAACCAGAAATAGAGACGAAATAAGGGCCATATATTCCTGGTAACACATTAGCGATACAGCTCTTATAAATATCAACTACATTTGCACTGGAATATAGACAGGCCAACTACTGACCTGTGTGTATGTCTCCATATATTCCAAAAAATATTCTGTTTTATTGTAATAAAGATAATATTTCTAACAATGCCATGCTGTTCTATTCGGTAGTGTGGGAAAAACAGCAAAACATCTCATTACAAAACAAACAGAAACACATTTCATCGGTAATTAAATATTAAATATGTAGTTTTGCAATTTTCGTTCATTATAGCAAAGCTCAAGTTAACTGGTCGATTTGAAGTGAAACAATTGACGACACCCGTCAATTGTTTCGAACTCGGGCTAGCCAATCGGAGCGCAGTTGTCACTGTAATGATATGGCAGAATAGTTTTCAAACAAATTAAATAACATTTCGTCTCTATTTCTGGTTATATACTCAATGGTGCTATGCTATGCCAACTAAACCACAGAACGAACCAGTTTCGTTATAGCCTCGTCGTATGAATAAATAAAATATTAATTTTTCAAAAATTGTTCCAAGACTCAACACTAATGAAATAAATTTTAGGTTCCAAGTGCAAATATATGTCTATGAAAATCAAAAAAGACTTGCATAGAATATCATTCTATGACAGTAATTTACATTAAAATGACTTGGAAAAAATGCACAGTCATGTAGGTGCAAAATTTTCTGGCATCATAGACATAATTTTTCTTATCTGTCGAGCTATAGTTGGGTTTTCTGCGTAAATATCTAAAACATTATAAGGTGGTAACACTTTTGCTGTTGCAACGACAATGTTATCTGCTTCCACTGAGACTGGAAGAAGATTCTTTTTGAACCAAGATATTAGTTTATTCTTTCTGGATTTTTCATCGTCTTGCTTTTCACAACTGGAGATTCTTCGTGATGGCACCTGCGTTTCTACTGGAATTTCTATGACATCTACAATAGCATGGCCTGGTATGAGAGTTGTTTGGAATGTATCTTCTTGTGGAACCGACAGGATGATGCTGGAACAATTAAATGTAGATATTATACTACTGAACAGCTCGTTTACATGATTAAGAAGTCTCTCAGTAGAACTCCTAGAAAAAAAAATTGAAGTGTTTAGCCACTTATGCTATTATTATGGTGGCTTTATTAAAAAACTGTACACTACACCATAATTGCGGCTTGCAACTGATCTATTGTAATTACCACTAATTACAACTCACAGGTAAGACAAATAGTATTGTTTTGTTCTCCTTTGGTTGAGGCAAGCGATTACCCTGACAGTGAGTATTATGAGCCCAGCAATGGGCAACTTGGGTAAGAAGGTGGCTTTATTCAGAGACTGTACAGTACATCATCACTGCAACTTGCAACTGATTTATAGTGATTACCACTAATAACAACTCACAGCCAAAAGCAATAGTATTGTTTTGTTCTCCTTTGATTGAGGCAAGCGATTGTCCTGTCAGTTAGTATCATAATGGCTCTCTTTTAGTATAATATGGGATGTGCTTATTTAAGCCACCTGCTCCCACATACACTAATTAAAAAAGGTAATTTGACGAGGTAAGAATATAAATTCTTACTTGTTTAAGAATTTGTATTCTTACCTCGTCAAATCATAGAATCTTCAACACAATAGCTTCTAAATACACTGTGTTAAAGTACAAAGAATATACAGTAGTTAACTATTACATTTGCTATGAGTTTTAATTATGTTTATACAATAAACAAAAGTGTTAGAATATTTTGTTTACTCTCTCACAAGTATCCATATTAAAAAACATTTACGTATTACCTGTACGTTATTGGATCTATAGAATGTACGAATCCATTAAAGCAAATATTCTTGAGTACAAGGACTCTTACGTATTTATTTATCAGCTGGAGCAAATATTCAGGGTCTTCTTCCAACGTTTTGTAGTTCCCTTTTGAGGTCGTCGGGTCTAAGCATTGGGCCATCTTTGGGATTCTAATTATTTAATATTCTTTACTCATTAATATTCCTCATATAAACTAAAATAGTTATTTTGTAAAATAGAAAATAATTTGTGATATTGATTTTTTTTTTAATTTATTGCTGCCATGGAAATTGTATAAATCCAGTGTTGCCAGGTTAAATTTGAAAAAAATCGGAAGATATTGCACAGAAAAAACAGTAGATTCAGGAACAAAAACAGTAGATGCTGAACTTACGGTGTTTGAAACTCTTTTAATAGATTTTGTTCAAATATTGTCACCTAAATATCATTGTTATCTTAGGATGTTGGTATCTCACAACAAAAATTGTATTTGGATACTAATATTATGTTATTTCCCCGCATTTTCTAGACCTATGAACCTGTGATTGGCAAATATGCCGAAATACCAAAAAAAAAAATGTAAGGACGATGTTCTATGATTTGACCACATTGTAAAGTTTTGCAAAAACTCCGACAAATGCTCAATATATGTTCAGAGTTGAGATCACGTTAATGCTAAATGCATGCACGTAAAAGATTTTTAGTAGATACATTTATGGACCAGCTAAAAAACATAATTTCGTAGAGTGCATAAAGTACCTATTTTATTCAATAAGTAGGTACTACAGTTTACAAAATATTTTTATTTCATGTGCTCTACACTTTCATTCTAAAAACATAAAGTACGACGTCGTAAATAGAAAAGACAATGCACAAAATCTAAAAAGCCGACAAGAATAGTTGTGAAAAGTGAAAAAACTGAAAATTTTTTAAAACAGTAAATTTTCGCTAAAAAGCAGTAGAACAGCAGATGTCGTCCAAAAACAGTAGATCTACTGGAAAAACAGAAGACCTGGCAACACTGATTTTTTTATTATTAAAAGTTGTGGCTTGGCTACAAGTCTTTTAAGCCATGTCATGTTTAATTATAGGATTCTCATTAAATATTTTCCCTTGAGGTGTAGAACCACAAAATATATATACATATATATAAAATATATATATATATATATATATGTATATATATATATATATATATATATAGGGAAAATATATATATTATGTTTTCGCTTGTTTCTATTGTATACTATGTATATGTAGAATAGCAAAAGAACTTTGGGTTTTTTAAATAATATTTTAAGCGGCGGGAGTCACTTAGTTCACTTGCTAATGAAAGACGTTGAATTTTGAATACGGCATAGTAGGTACTTTGTACTTTGGACCGTTCTTATCGTAAGCGGCATAGAGTTAGGTTTAAGTCTTACGTGTCAAGCTTGACGTGTTCTTGATCCTGTACCTACTTCTTCTTGTAGGTATGTTTCTTCTATGATCCTTCTTCCAGAAACTTTTCCATAATGTTCTCATATCCTTGCATAAATCCGTATGAGTCGTAAATGGTATAAGTGCAATGAGCTCAACATATCTTAAAATATTATCTAAAAATTTTAAATTTGAAAACTTTTAGCGTCCTTTCCTTTATTTTCATCATAAGGTCCTTTCACTTGAAATTCCCGCCATTTTGTGAAACAAGTATTTTTTTTATTACGACTTTTGATTTAGATCTAGTCTTTCGAGGCAAGTCCTATAATTTAGTTTTCGGGATGCTCAATAATTTTTTTCTGTCGTGTTTTTAATGTAGAATGGCAAAAAGAACTGGGTTGCTTTGTAAGTCTTCGGGAATCATTAATCCTGTTTTCTCTTATATCACTTATTTCATTTGCTTATAAAAGACGCTGAATTTTGAATACGGCTTAGTAGCTATTTTTTCTTGTATGCTTCCATAACATTTGCCTTTTAAATGTTGACTCTTCTTTCAGAAACTGTTCCATAATGTTGTCATATCATTGCTTAGATCCGTATAACAATCGGTAAATGCTACAATTACAACGAGCTCAAAAGTTTATTTATTGACCATTGGCTAAAAAGCCATCAGCTTAAAAAGATAACAATTAATTAAGAAAATCAGGAGCTCAACAGAATCATAATTGAAAATTTTCCATATAAAAACTTTTGCCGTCTTTTCACTTCAAATTCGCGCCTTTTTTTGAAACATTTATTGAATGCCAAAAAAGACGTAATAGTTTGTGGTAGTGACGCCATTGTAGGTCAATGAGTGACGCGCACCATATATAATTGTTTGTCATAATTACAAAGCTAAAGTACTCAGTATGTATGTACATGCATATACGTACCAGTAAGTAAAAAAGCCACTATTATAAAAAAGTAAAAAGTGGCAACATCGAAACTGCCTTGCTTTGGTTTCGAAACAATTACAAAATCAAAGTTGCGTTGCGCGAAATTAGTTGTTAACTTATTACACAAACCGCGAGGTAAGTGATCAATAGCAATGGTTCCTAAGAATTTGCCGCAAATTATGAGAGCTGTTGGATTCTACAAATATTTACCTTTATCAGACGCAAATAGCCTTATCGACCTTGAATTTAATTTACCAAGTCTGCGTGATAACGATGTTTTGGTTGAAGTTAAAGCGACATCTGTTAATCCTATTGACACAAAGCTACGAGCACCAAAAATACTAAAATCAACAATTGAAGGTAAACTACGAATTTTAGGTTTTGACGGTGCCGGTATCATTGTTGATAAAGGATCTAATGGAAAATTATTCAACATCGGTGATGAAGTATTCTTTACTGGTGATTTTTCGAGAGATGGGTCGAACGCCCAATACGTAGCTCTCAGTGAAATCGTTGTTAGAAGAAAACCTAAGAATCTTACGTTTGAGCAAGCAGCGGCAATGCCTTTGACAAGTTTTACAGCTTATGAATCTTTATACGATCGTCTGCTTCTATCTGAAAAAGACAAGGGCAAATCATTGCTGATTATAAACAGTGGCGGAGGAGTGGGTTCCGTTTCATCACAGATGGCGAAGAATTTGGGTTTAAAAGTAATCGGTACAGCGTCTCGTCCTGATAGCATAGCATTTAGTCGTAAATATGGAGTTGACATTGTTCTCGTTCATAAAAAAGATTTAATACCGCAATTGGGCGCACATGGGTACGGAAAAGGAGTAGACTATATTTTAGTGAAATAAGATCCGTTTCCATACTGGAAAACAATAATGGAAGTTATTAAACCCCAAGGCAAAATCTGTTTATTAGCAGATAGCAGTGAGTTAATGGATTTGAAATTATTAAAGGACAAGAGCATAACTTTAGTTTCTGAAATGATGTCACCAAGGATTAAATACGATACAGAAGACAAGTTCAGAGTACACGAAATATTGCAAGACATTTCTAAAATGCTCGCTGATGGCAGAGTAAAACATACACTCACAAAAACGCTATCTCCATTTAATGCAAAAAACTTAAGAGAGGCGCATCAAATTATTGAACAAAAAAGCATGATTGGCAAACTCGTCATTAGTGGATTTTAATAGTTAGTCCGCTTAACACTGTTGACATTTGATAATAAAATTAAATTTCAATAATTGGTGTTAGTTGCATCATTTAATCAAGTATATTATAATAAAGTATATACCTTATTATATAATGTTAATTTTTTTAGTAAATAAATGAAAACTGATACAGACTGTCACAAAACGGTCCATTATTACTTTGTTTGGGTCTGGTATAGTGAAGTTGAATGCCTTACTTTTTAAACTCGTATCTAAAGTAAAGTGTGATTATTCAGGAGATCGCAAAACTTTCTATATATTTTAAATATCTTATCAAGGGTGTAAATTGGGATGCACTACTTTAAGAATAGGTAAAAGCTAGTGTGTACTCGTAAATATGAAGGAAAAGTGATGTGAAATCAGCCTGCAAAATTTGTATAGACAATCCATTTTTTCCATTTCAGTAACTTTGTGCTTTAAGATACGAATTTGAGAAAATAAGTAGTAAGTAGTCAGTGCCTCCTTCCTAATCCTTGAATCTTAAATTTTTTCTTCAAGGATGCTGTGACTCAATTTAATGAACACCTCACTTTGAAGGACGTAGTAAGACGGTCGCACTGGTAATAACATTGTCTTTTTATTTCGTTTCTGAAAAGCGCTACCGAGACTGACCAGAGTCATGGACACTTTTATATTTGTTATTTATTTTGCGTTAATATATTTGTTTCCTTGAAAAATAACTACTTATATTGATTCTTAAAAAAAATTATGCCCAATCGAGTTAGATTTTTACACATAGGAAATGGAACTATGGTCACGGTTGACTGTGACGCGACTTTGTCCCTTTATGTTACATTTTGACATCAAAAGCGAATCTTCAATATTAACCTTCTGTTTAGTGATATTTGCTTTAGTCTAGTTGGCAGCACTGCTTTTTCATTCATGAGTTAGTTCAAAATGCCTGGCTGTATAGTAACTCGTGATCTCATGTTTCATGTTTTTCTCGTGTTTACAATACTAAACAACGTTTACTTATTATTCTTCTTGATTTGTGACCGCAACTTATTGGAATAGTGCCGTTATTAAGTAGTGTTTGTGTTAAGCAAGTCAAGTATATTAGTGTACACAGTGTTTTTGTGGAGAACCACATCAGTTTGTGACCGGCATACCCAGGAATGTGTATGGAATGTCTGCAAGAGTAAAGGGGACGTGGACAAATCGAACATCCTTTTAATTTAAGGGAAGTTCAATGTAAGGTAAGCAGTTCTCTCTCACTTTCTATTTCTCTCGCGAGTGCCAATGACACAAACGCCGCCTTTGGGGCGATAGCTGTACTAACGCTATTCACTCGCTTAGGGTTGTTGCAACAAGGAAAGTTTACATCTGGACGAACATTTTGAACTGCTCTGATTTTACATTTAAAGTAAATAAAACTCATGTATGTAGGGTTCTTAACGTGATACTGTCGGCTTTGTCAGTCGTTCTGTTCCACCCTGTACATTACATTGCTATGCAGTACTTATATTTGCAATTTAAATATACACATTGCTATATAGTACTTACATTTGCAATTTAAATAAGTGACCTTAGAGTCCGTATTTACCTAAATCGCTTAACGTTGGACATTTTTAATAATATCAAAGTCTTATTGTGTACAATCATAGATTTTTTTTGTAGTACCTACACTTTGATCATTAAAGGTTTTGGCCATGGATTTAATGTATCTGCCGAAGTTCAAATTGGACGACAGATCCATTCCGAGTAGCTGGATACAGTCGGCTATCAGTATGGATATATCACGAAAAGTCGGAGTCGGCTCAAAGGGACTCCGTTTTGTGTAGAACAGACACGGCTGCGTTTTGGTAGCGTTAAATTTGACAAGATTGACTACGCCCCAATCGGAGACTGCCTTGAGTGTTAAAACCAAACGACTACCCATGAACTCTCGACAAGACTGGATTTCCTCTCCAATGACCCTTGGATTGGTCAAGTACCTATCTACAACTGTGCTGTCATCAGTATACGCACAGGTACCTGGAATTAACATATCATTGATATGAACAGGAAGAGAGTTGCAGACAATACGGAACCCTGAGGATCTATCGCCATATGTTCGGAAGAGTAGCCTTCTAAGACCACTCGAATCGAACGTTCGCTCAAGAAATTCGAGAAACAATTACAAAGGTCAATAGGAAGCCTATAAGAAGGAAGCTTACTTAGAAGACTGGCGTGCCATGTTACAGGCATCCACAAGAAGGTTCCCTAGTTGATCGTCATCGTCGAAATCGTTGTCTTCAAGGTACGACAGGAGACGGTTGTTATGTACACGTTTCATAGTCTTGCAGAGTATGGTAGTGACTGAGATAGGTCTATAGTTGACATGGTTAGCTCTGCTTCCCTTTTTCGGCACAGGTTGCTAGCTTTATTCATGTCTAGATTCCGCAGAGTTCTAAGTGTCTCTTTTTGGCGTTTGCGCACTGACGCCATAGCGCAGCCAGTCTGAGGCAAGGTAGGTGGTAAGCTCCCTGCGGCATCTAGACGCGAACTCTCTGCAAAGAGTGAGGCAAAAAGATCTTCCTTGTCTTCAGCAGTATGGGCCAGCGTGTCATCCGGCCTCAGCAGACGTGGCACAGATGGGCGACAAAAGTTAGATTCGACCGCTTTGGCCAGGGACCAAAATGATTTGCTACCTGCTGGATAAGAGGCAAGCTTGGCAAGGCAAGCTATGCGACACACGAGGTGGAACTTGGCACTACGTAACACGCGTTTGCACTTCTTAGCGGCCTTATTAAAAGCTTTCTTCAGATTCCGAGTACTCGGAGCTTTGCGTAGTCGAGCATCTACCCAAGCTTGGTACGCGGACTGTTTTTTGCGCTTCAGCACAACTACAGTCAGCGTAAAACCATAGACGAGCTTAGGGATCATTGTGTACATCAGAGTATGGTATGTAATACTCCATACCCAAACGCAAGACCTCGACTACAGCATCAACAAAGCTCGACGAGTCTCCTGAAGTAAACACGCCTGCCAAGGATTTGACTAGAGTTTGCATTATCCACCCATTTGCTGGATCCGGATAAATCGAATATCAATATTTGTTAAATCCGGATATTACGGATAAAACGGATCTTTATTTATTTTTTATACATAAAACAAAACCAAAAGAATCAAACATATTATAATATCTTCTAATCATTATTTAACATGAAATATTTATGCAGAAATATAATAATAAATAATTTAGTCCACATTTTCTGTTGTTTATCAATTAAAAAATAGCATAACAAATAAAAAAACAAAAAAGATCTCGTTACTATAATAACATAAAGGATTTGCTTGTTTACCTAAATACGATAATAACCAACTCCCATAATTGTATTAACAAAATGAACATTTTTGCATTGATGCAAATCATAACACTTAAAAATATTAACATAATATTATTATTCTTATTGTATCATAATTAATAATCCTGATATAATATAATAATACTAAAGAACAATGACATAACCATAGTTAAAAGAATTCGTTAGCGTCTTCAAATGTCGTAATTATAAGTTTCAATAAAATAAATTAATTAGGTTTTTCAAATTATAATAGCGGCCTTTCTAAGTCTGGAAATAAAATCATATTTAAAAGAAACGAATAACTAATTAGTACGTAACCGGAGTGATATCTATAATTATCAGGGTCGTATTCCAGAACTCTACTCAATGCTCAAGTCAGGACTTGAGTATGATTTCAAACACTGGAAATACGACCCTAATGGCAAGGCCTTGAGTATGATTTCTAATGATTCAAATCATACTCAAGTCCAGACTTGAGCATTGAGTAGACCCGTAGGGTCGTATTCCAGAATTGCTCTATTATATATTGTATTAATTAGACATACTAGACATAGACATAGACATACTTTTATTGGCACGAATACAACAACACAAAACCACACTAAAACAGTTTACATACAAATAAGTAGGTATATGACTTATAATTACAAGTAAAACTAAAACAATGATGCACAGTAGACAGTAGTATGGCCTGTGTTGTAGCGTCATGCCAACACGGGACTTATCTCAGCATATGCTGCAGTAGCTTTACCACAGTGCTGATTTTCAGTAAGCCCGTAGAGCTCGACGCCAGAAATTCATTAAAAAGAAAAGAATAAAAAAAAAAATTAGAAATATTAGTGCTTTCTTTTTACTATTACTATCATATAATATGCAAATAAATATATATAAATATAAATAAGATATATTAGCGAAAATGACATAATACTTATATTTAAATGATATGAAATTACAGAGCTTATACCCTATCAGCGAACCTTTTACCTCGAAAATGCTGGAACAACCCGGCCGCCCACGGACAACTCGGCCTGGTATGATGTTAATAGTTGTTTTATTTTGCTTTTAAAAGAAAAGACAGACTTTACTTCCCTCATAGGCGGCGGCAAGTTATTCCAGCACTTCGAGGCCGCGTATCTAAAACTCCCACGAAAAGCAGAAGTGCGGTGCGGAGGGATCTGCAATACCCAACCCGTCGAACGAGCACCATATCTCCCATGGTCACGCCAAGACAACTTTTCTGCCAGGTACTCCGGTTGACCCGTCCTGATAACACCGAATAATAGTAAAGCCAGATGTTGTTCTCGGCGGAGAGACATTTTCAGGCTATTAGATCCTATAATATAAGGCGTGACATAGGGCACGTTTAGGAATGTCAAAACAAAACCTTGCGCACGAGTTCTGCACTCTCTGAACTAAACGCTCGGTTCTAGCTAGCAGACGGGGACCGTATACAACATCTGCATATCCGAGAATGGATGACACCAAAGAGTCGCACAAACTGATGCGCAATTCCTGATTAAGGTACTGACGGATGCGGTACAAAATTTTTAGCCTATAATAACATCTCTGTACCATTTCAGATATATGTTGGTCAAAGAGTAGCCTCTCATCCATCAACACCCCAAGGTTTCGAGGCACAGTCACACGTTCTACCTGGACATTATTTATTACAAGTTCGGGATCATCCGCGGA